TTTAACGTTTTTAACGTTTTTAACGTTTTTAACGTTTTTAACGTTTTTAACGTTTTTAACGTTTTTAACGTTTTTAACGTTTTTAACGTTTTTAAAAGTGATCTTGATTTCAAATGAAGTCTTGCATTTCCGTTTCACATGTGAACATTGCTTATGTTTGGCTTCAGAGCGTATGTCTGTAAGAATCAAACAAAATCTGAAATCTGCGACAAGGCTCAAATTTTCGAATTTGCTCGATTTGGATTTAAGTATTGTATGATGCAGAATGCAACGCCGTGTGTTAGTTTTGAAAAACACTTCTTCTTTTCGAGAACAGGGAAAAGAAAATTTGAGTTCCAGGGGCGATTAGACTGATTCCATAAGTCGGTGTTTCCGCTCTTTTGTCGATTCTGGATATCGCTAACACACCGGCCAATCACATTACTTGGTTCATTTTGATCGGCGTCGCTACTATACGGCGACCTCTAATCACGTCGCTCGTTATACATTTCGAAACATTTTAGCCAATCACAGAAGGCGTCCTATTGAGAAAAATCACTTCCTGTTCAAGATTTTGGTCAGGTTTGTTTTGCCGCCATTTTGATTGTCTCATGAAATCAGACAGAACCTCATCGAAAACAAAAAAGGATTTTTAAAAAACTAACCGCACATCGTTTAATTCTTCATCAGACGCTACTTAAATCCAAAAGTAGGCCAAACTTGAAAATTCGAGTTGGGCTTTCCGCCGTTTGTTTGATTCTTACAGACAAACGCTCTTAAACATTCACAAATACTAAAGTAACGTATACTAAAGAATGTGCAACTGACTTCAAAAATACAAACACTTTGAAATTCCACGGACCTTCACTGGAACACGTGGATATTTTCCACAAAAGCAAGGCTAACTCTGAGCAACCAGAGAACTCGAAACTAGTGTGTGATCCTTGGATCAGGAGTACACACCATAACATCATCCATGAAACAAAATCAAAGATGTAATGTCTGAAGCAGCTATTTTGTACTGGTGGGTATTACTGAGCATTAGAAACCAAAGAACATTAGAAACAAAAGCAACTCAGTACCTCTACGCGTCAGTAGAGAGAAAAAGAGAGAGAATATTTAAGAGAAAAATATCAAATGCCCTTGCTGGAATTGAACCCACGTCTTCGGTATTCTAGTCCGCTGTGTTAACCACTACACTAATAGGACCAACCACGCTGATAACGCAGCCGGAATATGCAATGTAGGGTACTCGTGAGGATCCCAGAGCGATATCTTTTCTTATCTCTTCTTTTTTTATTACTACTATACTATGTCTATTCTTTGCGTACATATTTACGATGTTCAACTTACCTATAGAGAAAAGATAACGCTCGGGGATCCTCACGAGTTCCCCTACATTGCATATTCCGGCTGCGTTATCAGCGTGTTTGGTCCTTGTAGTGTAGTGGTTAACACATCGAACTGGGATACCGAAGACGTGGGTTCGATTCCCGTCAAGGGCATTTGATATTTTTCTCTTTTTCTCTCCTTTTCTCTGCATTTAAAGTTGTTGTTGTTGTTGTTACTTACAGAAAAGTGCTGATCTCACAGTGTATTTGGACCTATGGGATGATACGACAGGAGAACACTTGGCCTGTATCGAGGAAAAAATACATTTCTACAAAGACTTCTAAGTTTTCTTGCCAAACATATTCACTGTAATACATATGGATAACGATATGTTATGTATGGATAACATTATATTAATCACGAATCGTTGTAACGTGGCTGACCTCGGGTTAGGGTTAGGGTCTGATCTCGAGCCTTTGGGGGAGGGGGAAGGTACGAAATATTTCGCCTAAATTTGTTAAATAAAAAACCTTTTTTTCTTAAAAGAATTTTCTCGCTGATCTCGGGATTACAGCGTTGTCGATATTTGAGTTTGACATGTGTACAAATAAAGCTACAGAATTAAATAATAATGGAAAAATATATCGACTGCACCTCGTGTTCTAAGCTCGCTTTTTTCTACAGCTCCCAGCATGTTTATAGTACAGTACAGGCGAACGTTTTATATCCCTTCAAATAAAACAATAAATTTGAATTTTAACAGTGTCATTCCCACAGAGCTGATCACTGGCTTTTCATCTACTGAATTCCAATAAGCCAGTTCATTGTTTTAGAATCGTTTTCAGTGTGCATTTGATTTTATCCTGAATTTCTCACCTTCTTTTGTCTAACCCTTCCTTTGTTTTACACTAAAGAAGGTGAGAAATTCGGGATAAAATTGCATGCGCAYTGAAAACGATTCTTAAACTATGAACTAGCTTAATCGAATTTAGACATACACTTAATCTTATATTCTCCATCTAAAAACGATAATCATGATCAACTTTTCGCTCAATTCACATGCACTCAACGGACCACCTCAACGAGTGCGGGTCGCCCAGAGGGGCAAAACCAAAACAAAGATGACGACCCCAAGTTCTTAGAGAAATCTGTGCTTAGTTGTGGAAATGACCATTGTTTAATTAAGAAGAGATAACTAGATAAAAATTAGTGTGAGCTGCGTCGGTGTTTCTAATGAAACAGTAATGATGAAAAGGTAAATTATACACCGTTAAAATATGAAAAAAACTGACGTTTCGGACGCTAGTCCTTCGTCGGAGTAAAAGAGAAAGAGGTGGTAGAAAGGACTGTTTTTAAAAATTAAATAATGTACAACTGACTTCAAAAAATACAAACACTTTGAAATTCCACGGACCTTCACTTGAACACGTGGATATTTTCCACAACCAGAGAACTCGAAACTGGTGTATTTGATTCCTGGGCTACCCATAATGCCTTGCGAGTCCATTGAGTATCGATATGCGAAGAAATATAGCGTAAAGAAGGAAGGTTTTAGTGAAGTTTTGGGGTTTTCATTGCGTAGTCAGAGAGTCGAAGCTGAATTGAAGTGCTTTATAAAGGATAGCTTAAGTTTTGGAAAGAAAGGAATCTTTTGATTACTGGAGTTATATTTGCAGAAAATGTGGACAAAAGACTAAACTTACGGAAAGACATGCATACGAAGGGATTTACTCGGTTGCACAAAATCAATAAATACTCTTCGAAGGACACAGGTTTGTGCTGAATTTTGCAAATGGCGGTCATATTTTGTCTTAAAAATTACGCCAACATTTTAAAATAGTGTACTTAAATCGAACTAAAGAATTGCATTCATTTCTATGAAACAACAGTTATATGACAATTCTATATCGTTCTTTACATGCATGTGAGAAGTTTAAGATCTAGAGAACCGAGAAATATCGACAATACCTGTAAGAACATATACATTTTCTGTGACCCGGCCAACTGCGCAGGCCATGACTTTAGTATCTATATATTTTTTGTCCACTGAACAGTTCTAGCTAGGTTTTCTTTTATTTCAAACATATTAATTTATCAGTGCTACTTTGATCAGTATTCAAACTTCATACTTCAAAATGCAAAATATTTTGAAAAGATCTAGAGCGATACCAAAATCCAATGACACTTGCGATAGGGATGGATCAGCTGTCTTTGCTTTGTGGTGAGAAATATTACAAACACTAATCATGCATTTCTGCGCATGATCAAACCATTTGAAGAAAGAGAGAGAGAGAGAGAGAGAGAGAGAGAGAGAGAGAGAGAGAGAGAGAGCTTTATCGCACAATCAAAGTCTTGGGACAGGTTTTCAGAGAGTTTTAAACCAAATGATTAATAGTACTAGATGTGCAAGTCGTTCGTCGCTACCTTAAATTACTTCATTACTTCTACTGATTTTCCTTAGTAACAAATGGCGACCTTTGATCTTGAGCTTTGATCTTTGATCAACTCGCTTCCAAAAGCTCAGCAACATAATGGTTTCCTTGACGATGCGAAACAAACGTAATACAGTCAAGTTTCGTTATTATCGTAATGGATTCAACTTGAACACTCGAGCGTTCAACACTTACTCATCAATGTCACACTGCTCCACGTTTGAACAGCTTTTCAAATACGTCAAGCGTTCGGGACTGCTGCATTCATATTTCCTTTAGAATTTACAATCATTTATTTTTTCGAAATATTTATTCAATAAATGTACACAATAATCAGTAGATAGTATAAATAATAAATAGTAGATCATGTTTTTTGGCTTATGAAAGAAAGAAAGAAAGAAAGGAAGAAAGAAAGAAAGAAAGAAAGAAAGAATAAAATTTCTAAAAAAAAGAAGAAATAATAAGTACAAAGGCGAACATTGGTCGTGAAAACATATTTAATGATGCAGGGTTTACGTATGAGTCAATTCCAAAGGCTCCCGTCCCGTCCCGAACTTTTGGAATTGACTCATACATTATGACTGATAAACCATTGAAGCTTTGTGGTCTGGCATCACGGAAACAAAACAGTAGTATTGATAACGACGTCGCTTTTTGAATAAAACTACAAAATCTTACCCAACCCGCAATCACTTTAAAATGTCCAGAATATGTTCTTAAAATCAGAAGCTGTAAGACTGTAACATTTTAGAATATTATAATGAAATTGAAATGAAATTGAAATGAAATTGAAATGTTTGCAGGAAACAAATGGGAATAAAATGATTGTTAAACACACACATATATATGTTTAATTTGAAGTTTAATAAGACTTTTTACCAAATAAAAACATAAAACAAAAATGAAAATGGTAATGGATAGCCGTAGGGGGAAACTGAATTCCCATGAAAAAACTACTCTCCGAAATTAAAATATAAAATATCTATAAGAATCTATAAAATATACACACATTCGAGAGAAATAACATAAATCTTTTCCCATTTCTCTGAAAAAATGAATAAGGAAAATAATTAGGTTATGACATATATATCTAAATTGAACTATAATTGAACACAAATGACATATATCTGAGTATATAATTCTTGCAAGGTTGGTCTGTAAGTCACGTCACGAGGGACGCGGAGGTGGGATGGCTCCGAAACACATAATCTTTTTCATCTATTGCAAGGTTAGTCCATGAGTTACGTGACCTTAGGTAGTTTTAGGGTGTCGATAAAGCCGAAACGTTTTGCAGGGACGCGGAGGTGGGGTTCATCCGAAAGTCATGTAACAGGCAACTCTTACCTACTCGATGCAAATAATGACGGAAATTGAATGTTAATAGAAACAAAGTTTTGGCTCAGTGTATGCATAAGTATGAATGTTACCAAAATTTAGAATGAAAACAAAAAGAATATGTTTGAACAGCCCTGACTCCCGTCTACAAACCTGTATCTACTAATATTCAATGAGGTAACATTTGATTGGATATCACCAACATGGTCAAATACTAAAGTTAAATACTTGAATTGTTAGGTTTAAGACAATCACTAACTATTTGTTCAGAAAACTCGACACTTTGATAAGAATTAAGCCTTTACAAAAGAGATGATGCATAAAAGTACCTGACAAAAACATATAAATGCACTCAAAGCTGTAGCAATTCACCACAATTGTCTTTTTGTGCTCGCGAAATCATCTAGTTATGGCGTCATTCAAGCAAGCTTGTTTCCTTCTTGTTGTCTGTATTTTTGCAGTCGATGCGTTCTCCTGGAAAAACTGCGGTAAGAATGAGCGATTTGTTTGTGTTTTCTTCGAGTTTTGTGTCAAGATATATTTGTGTATTAATGCGCATATGAAAATAGATGCTTTGTTTAGAGCCAGTATAAAAGGGCAGAATACGGGACATGACAAAAAAGGGGTAATAGAAAATAATTCGTTAACAACTTTTTTTGCACTTCCGAGTCTTATTACTTGCTAACGACAGAATTCAAATTTAGATGTCATTTATATAACGATTTAAAGTTACGTGATATATAATGAAATAAATAGTCAACCCTCGGTTTGTTGGAGGCTGATTGTGTGAGTCTAAAATAGAGTGAGCATGAAATAAGATGAACATTACTAGTATAGTCTAATCAACTTCGAAGACTAGAAAACTGGATGAGATACAAAAAGTGACTAAATGATGGATGAGGTTGCTTCCTTCGAGTGACGACAAAGTAGTCTTTTATCTGAATGCATTTGCTTCATTCCTCGGTTTAAGTGCTCATCTTTAAAGATAGCTAGAAAACAATACGTAAGATAAGCAAACCGAGTGGTTTAACATCTATGAATATTGAATTGTAGAACAGAGCCCACGAACTGTACCATGTGTGATTGATTTTTTAAAATACCTTCTTCCTTTCTCTCGTTTTTTATTTTCTTTCAAGTCGTTCTATAATTATTTTCCTTCTTYTTTCGGTTCTCAGTGCTTTAAAATTCAAAATGTTTTCAGTTTCACATGAATTCACTATTTTTGAATACACACGCTTCATTTTCCATTYCTTTATTTGTATTCTTCTTCACCTATATATGCTCATTGAAAATCACCGTCGGGTTTAAAACATAGAACATAGAAGCTTAGATCAAAATTAATAAGGTATGACATCATCAATCCTTGTTCTGAACTGTTTATGTTAATAGACGCCATTACCGGTAACAAAGTATATTTATATTTGCCCCCTGCACGATCCACAATGCCTTGCGATTAAAGATGGCCGCCGCGCACACCGAGCAGCTGATAACGAGAGGTGTGCTGGAAATGACATATAATTATCCCCTGATGTATTCATTCGAGATATGAAATATGAGTTTTTGATGAACCTTCCAGTGCAACAATTTATGAACACTCCACGAGCTGTATCACTAAAACATCTTATTAACGTGCTTTCCATAAACAATTTCGGTCACAGGTTCTATATATATATGTTCTTTTATGTTTTTGAACCTGAAAATGGTTTTGCAATAGCCCGACACTTCCGAGATATGCTTCGCTTGTCACGCACAAAGATTTCAGTATGAGGCTAAGTGCTAAATGCTCAGTCATTCGTGACAGGCCATACTGAAACCTTTGTGCGTGACAAGCGAAGCATATCTCAGAGGTGGGCTATTGATCGGATGTGACCTTTTGGCTTTTGATCTTTGTTTGACCTTTGATATTTATATTGTATTGGTTGTATAAACAGATAGAGGTGCACCTGTCCAAGTAAAGAAGGTCACCTTGTCACCCACTCCAGTTCGACTGTACGAGGGAGCAAAGATCACTTTTGGTGGTTCAGCTGAAATCAAAGGAAACGCTGGTGTAAACTACAAAGTCGAGTTGAGCATCAAAAGAAAAGCTGGAAGCTGGGTGCCCATCTGGGTTCCTATTCCTTGCATTAGTAACGTTGGATCTTGGTAAGTGATCACGGGTTTAAACCGGCGTCATCATGATCGCGGGCGAAATCGAACATTCGATTCCCTTGAATCCAATCCAATGATTGCATTCGGCAATGGAATGAAATGGAATTCACGAAAAATTTGGAGCCAATCGAACACAATCGAACATTCGATTACGTTCGATCGTAACTTAGGATGATAATTTAGGATCGTAATTAATGATCGTAATTTGTAATCATCGAACATTCGATTACATTCGATTGTACATTCGATTACGTTCGATTGAAATCGAATGCAATCGAATTCACAAATTTTTCAGCGTTCGATTACATTCGCTTTTCGAATTATAAAACTGATTACGCTGGGGTTTTACCGATGATGATATTTACAGGCAGACATCTAGTTTGGTAAGGTTTTACGCATAAGAAACGGGGTATTAAAACAAGCGTAGAGAAAATCGAAAGTACGTTAAGCGAAAAGAGTAGTTGCGATACATAGACAATGTTTCTTGAAACGTGTCTCGCAATTTTTGTTGCATTGTAAAATCTAAAAGAAAAGCGTTGCAGTTGGACGAAAAGGTAGTGAGGGAATGTCACGCCAGGCAAGTTTCCTTGGAACCTGGTTTATAAATATGAATTAATCATTATATCGACAAGTTGCACGGAGGAGAGATATTCTTGCCGCAATCGATGCAAAAAGGGAAACTGGATTCTACTTCTCGTTATGATTGCGACAACCGTTGCAATACGATTGCGAGCCCCGCTCTCAGTAAATCCTCGGATAAAATCCCTCTGGAACCCAGGGTAGGCAGGTTTTGGAAGATGTCACAATAGGCTTTTTTCTCGTATTACTCGCGCAACATTTGTCGCAACGGAACTAATGTTAAGCAATTTGCAAGGAACATTGCTTAATATAACACAAAATGTGCACCTTAACATGACCTTTATAAAATGCAAGGAAATATTGATATGTAAACAATGCTTTAATATTGGTTTGCTCTTTTGTTCATTTGATAATTCAGTACTTATACTGGGCTGAGCTGCAGCAAGATCTGGAAGAAGCTTAACAAACCAGCTCAATGTCCCGTCCCAGCAGGTAGCCACAACCTCCCAACTACAACCATCACCCTTCCTAAGGTCGATCTTCCTTCTTTCTTGACCTCGGTAAGTCCAATGTCGTTTTGTTTAAAATGAAAATATATAATATTTAGATTTACCACTCTCCGGGAAGAACGGAAAGCCTAACAGGTTTTAAAACCCCATTTGATTAGGCAACCTATAGATCGAATTTGAATTTAGAAATTGATTTTTGTATAGGGAAGAAAACCCCGAGAACTCGGAGAAAAAACTAGGATTCGAATCACAAACGACACTGAGCTCAGAAATCAAACCTAGATCGCATTGGTGAGAAGCGGCGCATTAGCGGTGCATAACTTAAAAATCAACCACACCTTATAAATCCATTGTTTGATGTAGGTTCTAAAATTCGTCGGAAAACCCAGATTCTTAAAGCCGGGGGCGGAATTGATATCAACAGGGGAGAGCGGGGCTGAATTATAAACCCGGGATAGGTTTTTGATTACTCCCCTTCCCCCCATGGCACTTCCCCCCTCTCCCCATGGCACCAGTTCCCCCCATGGCAGAGACCTCGTTACTCTCCCTCTGCACAATTATGAACACTTGATTGGTTCATATAATTAATTCATTGACATATACCTAATAGTATATTTTATTGAATGCTGCTTTTCAGGGCACGTACTGGGCAAGAGCCAAGCTGATTAACACAGATAACCGCAGGGTTATGGCTTGCGTTGAAATCGACATCAAAATCCGTTAACTAGTGGTGGACCCACATCAGTACAGTAACGGCTCGATCAGAAGAAAATTATACAAAACTAATGTTCTGAATAAATCGATTTGAACACAAAACAAAATAAGTGAGTAGGCTAGTTTGAGCTGCGCTGTGAGCATGATTAAGATACATGCTGGTCCCCTAATGATATACGCTGTGTAATAATAAAGGTATACATATCTGAAGTTTCGGGCATTTGTCCTTTATATAGAAAAGAAAGAAGACCTATTCTCACTATTTGACGCAATAGAGGTTTTGCACCATCACATGACGACAGCCATGTTAGATGGCAGGAACAATTCGAACGTTTTACATGAGAAAGAATTCAATTCCCGAGAGCACAGGGATTTTATTGCTCTGCCATCTAACCACAGGCAGCTCAAGCTGGATTTTGGCGCAGGCACGTGATGGTGCAAAAACTCTATACCTGATCTAATTCGGTAAGAGGCTTATACGTCACTGTAATATTTTGACAATCACATGAGAAGAAGTAATGAACGACTGCTGCCTATTTTAATCATACATTTTGCACAGATTATTGTGACTGAATTTTCTGAAAATGCTTTTTTAATTTGATAAACTCACCTCTTCTAGCTGTGATACCCCATGCTTCTTCCTAAGTTTCTCCAGCAGTCAACGCTTATACGACCGGCCGGCTCTGCATTTTCTCTGCCATTTTTCTTAGGCGACCAAACCCTTTGTCAAATAACCTCTGCGGCAGGGAACCTCTTCATGTCGCTAGGGAACCTTTTCGCTATAGAAAAGCCCTCTTCGCTAGAGAACCTCTTCGCTAGGGAACCTCTTCGCTAGGGAACCTCTTCGCTAGGGGATCTTTTCACGGGCTTTTCACTAGGGAACCTTTTCGTTAGGAAACCTCTTCGCTAGGAAACTGACCTCTTCGCTAGGGAACCTCTTCGCCATTAAGGAATGCTCAAAATTAAGCAATGCTCACTTCCTTCGTCAAACATGTATAACTTCCCTGCTAGATATGCCCCGCGGCTAATTGAATCGGAAGTAAGTGTTAAAATCTCCAGTCTCCCATAGTGCACTGCATTCTCCAGTCTCGCTATGTTAATTTCCCGCCCTGTGCTGGGGGATGGAAATTCCCATTGACTAGTGCCGAGTAAGCTCCTAGTTTGTTATGACGTCATATCGATCATGCGATCATTCCCAGGTTCCTGGAATTGATGTAAAGGTCCAAAACTTATGAACTTGGTCCAAAAGTACGGGGGACGGGGTGGTAACCGGGAAGAGTGCTAAAATTAAATTTAAATTTCACGTCCAGTTTCGTCCGGGGTTTCAATTCATTAGTGCTAACTTGCATTTTAGAGATTTCTAGCCGTGGCACCATCATCAGTGCCTGTGCTTGGCCGTGTAAGCCATGATGGCATTTATCAAACTAATCAATCGAATAGATTATTAATAACTGCACGGTATCTAAAACTAGTTGTGCGTCAGACGCGCCATGGAACCTTAGCATAATTCATCTTCTGCCTCTAAACTAGATATTATTGAGCCTGGCATCTTTCCTTTCCACCTCTCATTACACAAAATGAAAACCTAAATATAAAAGGGTGATATTTAGGAGGCTTGGACAGGAAACCAAGACAATGCTTTGCACGCTAGTCAGTCTCATTATTTTAACATTTAAAAAAAACATTTGTACTGCATTGGCACATGGACAAAGAAAATACATTCAATCAAAATCTTATAAATCAAGATCCTATTATATATGATAAATATATGTTATTTACCGGCCAGGAGGTCCGGATAGGGAAAAACTGTGCCCGAGGTCTTGAATATACGGACCGAGGCCGTTAGGCCGAGGTCCGTTTTCAAGACCGAGGGCACAGTTTTTCCC